GTATCCTACTTGTGTCTAAATCATATTCCCACAGGCAACTCGGTAATGGGTTGGGTACTTCTAAATGCCTCACTGAGCACAACTTCAAAGGGCCTTACATTGAGTACAAGCACTTTTGCGAAATTAGATCTCCAATTGGTATCCAGTAATTGGTGAGAACACAAAAGCTTATGCTGACACTTTTGCTTCCAACAAGTAATTTCAAATTTAGATCAAAAGTAGAGAACTTTCATACCAATTTCTTCCAGTGCAGAGTCTTGCATCTGGGGAAGAACAACCCCATGGACCAGTACAGGTTGGGGGCTGACCTGCTGGAGAGCAGGGTAGGAGAAAGGGACCTGGGGGTCTTGGTAGACAGGAGGATGAACATGAACCAGCAATGTGCCCTTGTGGCCAAGAAGGCCAATGGCATCCTGGGGTGCATTAGAAAGGGTGTGGTTAGTAGGTCAAGAGAGGTTCTCCTCCCCCTCTATTCTGCCTTGGTGAGGCTGCATCTGGAATATTGTGTCCAGTTCTGGGCCCCTCAGTTCAAGAAGGACAGGGAACTCATTGAAAGAGTCCAGCGCAGGGCCACAAAGATGATGGAGTGGAGCGTCTCCCTGATGAGGAAAGGCTGAGGGAGCTGGGTCTCTTTAGCTTGGAGAAGAAGAGAATGAGGGGTGACCTCATCAATGTTAACAAATATGTTAAGGGTGAGTGTCAGGAGGACAGAGCCAGGCTTTTTTCAGTGATGTCCAGTGACAGGACAAGGGGCAGTGGGTGCAAACTGGAACATAGGAGGTTCCATGTGAACATGAGGAAAAACTTCTTTCCTGTGAGAGTGACAGAGCCCTGGGACAGGCTGCCCAGAGATGCTGTGGAGTCTCCTTTGCTGGAGACATTCAAAACCCACCTGGACATGTTCCTGTGTGATGTGCTCTGGGTGATCCTGCTCTGGCAGGGGGGTTGGACTGGACGATCTTTTGAGGTCCCTTCTAACCCCTAAGATTCTGTGGTATCTAATTATCCAACACTTAAAGTTGGATAAACTTCATACTTAAGGGCATGTCCATAGCAAGTATGCAAGGGCTTGTACATTTTTTTAGAGTCTGGCTTTTTCTTTGGAGTTTTCCAAATGGCAACTGGAATTTGAGTGGGAACTCCTGGCTGTCTTTGTACATTTAGAGGTGAACTTGTTTACTGAAGCACCTCCAAAAAGATCCAGAAGCCTAACTTCCCATATGCTCTTACAAAAAACCTTGGAGTGGAGGTAGGATTTTTCAGGAGTGCCTTTGTGACTTTGAAGTGAGATTTACGATCAATGAAAAGTCAGCTCTCAAGATTATCTGACAGTCTCAAGTCACTTGCCATTCCTTTGATAATTTCAACTGAAAACGCAAGGCAAATTCTGCATTAAGAGAGCTGTTCCTACTGGTGATATACCAGTGGTGACAGGCTGGGTAACAGTGAGTTAGCAGGGTAATATTATTGTAGTCTTTATTGATACAGAATATTTAATTTACAGAACATTAGAATAAACCCACCCTCTTACTTGCCCAGTGTTTGAGGATGAACAGTTACAGACAAGAAAATAATCCAGTTACTTATAGTGAAACTAATGATTAAATTACATTAAAACCATTAACAATATTGTATTGTAAAATAGAAGTGCATGTACAGTATATAAATACAAGAGCTTTCTGTTCCTTCTCAGGAACACAAGCAAATCACATATATTTTTCAGTTTAATTTAGCTTGTGCTAAAGTACATTTCCATCTTAAATATATATTAATGTAAAACATACCTAATAAATCTCTCAGTTTCACTCCCTGCATCTTAACTTGCAATTTATATTACAGTACTTTAAAAGCTGAATGAACACTCTTTAGTACTCAGAAGATGTTTCTGTCAGAATTTTCTGTCTTTCAAATCTTTGGCAATGTTTCATAGGAACACTCTTATTAATCAGACTTAGTAGTTTTTGTTACGACATTTGAGTCTTATCCAAAGCAAGACACCCTGACTGCTGACTATTGAAAAGTCTATTTCTATTTGAAAGAACAGGCCACACAAATTCACTATATGAGTGTTAAAATAACAAAAATCCTACACTGTAGGACAAAAATGAACATTGTGCAAAATTTATTCATAGCCATTTTAAAGATTCAAAAGATACAACATTGTTAGGCATGGCAGCACTGGCCCATGGCATAAACACACTGCTTCATCCCTGGTCAGTCAGTGGCAACACATCAGTCTGAAAACCTGCTCCTTGACAGGCTGCTCCCCAGTCAGACACAGCAGCAAGACACATAAGGGCTTGTATTTGGGCCAGGTTACCTAAAGTTTGATGGCTAAGATGAGATTCCTCAAACTTATCAAGCAGTTCTTCTAACTTTCAAAAGGATACAGTGTGTTGACATGGGTACCAAGGCCACCTGTTCACGTTCTAAGTACGCAGCTGAGCCAATCTTCACTGATAGTACCCAGTCACTTTTCATTTGCACTGACCAAAAATTACCACCAAACTCTGAACTGGTCAAGTCTCTTAACACCCTGGCAGAAGCACCTTCTCAGAGTTGCTTGCTAGGACACAGTTGATGCAGAACAGATGACAGGAATCGACTTAACAGTCCTTTATGCTCCAAACACACATAGATAGAAAGATGCAAAACTAACAGGAAAAAACAACTTTATTTTAAATCCTATTTGCCCTACTAAAAATGTTCCATGTAGAAATATTTCACGTCAAGTAAAAGATGCTGCACAGAAAAATATTTTATCAGTGTGTAGTGTATGGTTTAAGTAGACAACAGATTAATTATGAAACAGATGGAAACAGTTAAGATTCAAGGTTTTTCAAAACAGCTTAAAGACTCACAAAACATCAAGATGAAAAACTGAAGATATCTTTTGCCTCTCTGCTCACTGCCTGTCTTTGCTTCTCTGTGGCACTTCCACAAAAAATGTTAATCCTTTCAAGTGCCTGCCAAGTATTTAACTTAGCACTAAAATGAAATAAGAGCATTGCTCAGAACTACTGCTTGAACAGGCACATGCAGTTTGAATTACATGCTATAGCAAATTCCTGTCAGAAATGCCCTTGTCAACATGGAGATGAAAGTGCTCAAACACAATCACTGCATGGCAGATGACTGGAAATATTTAAAAGAGACAATATAAATATAGATATAATTAGCAGTATATTACTCTAGCACTGTAATGTTAAATGGTACATCACCAGATGAACAAAACTTCTTTTTTTTTTTTTCTGAATAAAACTCATTTCTACCCAATTCCCAAATAGTTTGGGTTTTTTTTCCAAAATGGACAAAAGAGGCAGAAATCAGTAAAGGGCATGTTATTTAAGGCAGAATATAAGAATGCAAAGAAATTATTACATGTTCCAATAGAAATATAGATAGGCAGTCTACAGGCTTCTAGCAATAGGTAAAAAAAATAGAGTATTTCATACATTTGTATAGTTGAAATAAAAGGTAAAGAAATGGTGTTTAAAATGGGTCAGGACAGCAGTTACCAAAATGTACAAAAATAAACTACTTGTCATTTGCAGTGTTGAATGTTTTTGCATCATTAAAGAACGTGATATTGCTCTGATAAACAACATCAAGTAACTTTTCATTCAAAATCCAAAAGGGATAATTATTTTCTAAAAAAACCAAAACATTTTCACGTGTATACTCTATGTCTAATATATAAGCTGTACCTCTCTACAAAGTACCAGTAGTTTACAGCAAGTCCTGAGACAACCTGTATCTTCAGACAACCTGCAGGCAGGTGGTGTGCTCACAGGAGAAACAGCTTCAAAGGTGCCCCTCAGCTCACAGTGCTGTGGAATCACAAATTCTTTCAAAAATAACTCACAGCTTATACATGTCAAAGTATGGCACAAGCTCCAATTTAGAAAGTAGAGCCTCATCCTTTCTCTTCTCAGACAGAAGCTAACGTCAGGAACATTTAAGCTGCTCTGTCTGCACAGTCAGACCTCTGTGGCTCTACTGAGCATCCAGTTGCTGTTTCCCTGGAGCAGGGGTCTGGCCATGCTGAACAGCTCATGGTACAGGAACATACAACAACAGAACATGCAAGATGGCAAGAACACCCCTAATCAGCTACCTTTTTGGTCTAATAAAAGTCCCAGCCCTTACCTTACAGTCTCGAACACTCTTCAGCTTAAATGTTAAGATGGTAAGCATGAAAAAATGCCTTTCTGCTTAGTATGATGTAACCCACCAGCAGCAGTGGTCTGCTATAGTTAAGTAGGGAGAGCTTGGTCCTTCCAGTTGCTTGAAAAACTCCCTTTGGAGCCAATATGAAAAGTCTGAACAAGACTCTCAGTCATTCTGCACAGTGCCCTCTGATTCCAGACATACTGACTCCCAGGAACCAGAGCCAGGCAACTGCAACTACCCAAAATCTTTTCCACGGCAAACATCTAAGTCCCCAGAATGGAAATGAAAAACACAGCTGCTCTTTTTTAAAACTAAAGTGTCTCTGGTTCACTGGGGTCCAATTCACTTCATCAGAGACAGCCAAGAGAAGATCTGTGTACCACTGAGCTCTCACTCCAACCCTTACAACAGAGCTGGAGTGACAACAGCAGTGCCTAGACCTGGTGCTGGATATGATGGCTATGAAGGATTGACTTCCTCCACCATTTCTAAGGAGGAAGGCAACTTAGCTTAATTATAAAAATTCATTTTTTTGTTGCAACTAACCTGAAGTTATCTTTCCTTCATATATTCATGTATATATTTAAAATCCTGACACCAATTCAGTTTTCAGTTTTTCACTAGATGAGAAGAGGTTGAGAGTGATGGGGTTAATTCAGGTAGCAGATGAGTAGGAATGAAGGAAAGAACAAAAAACAGAGTGAGAAGGGCTGGATACTGTTTTTCAAAAATTTATTTAAAATCCATTGGAATTTGCCCCACACGTAGGTCTGCCATCCATGTAGGATTTCTTGTTAAGGAACAAAATAGTTCACAGCACCTGGTTATTACTTTAAACCAGCCATCAAGTCTGTAGAATTTAAATCTGCAGAGATGCTCTCTGTTGCATTAGCTAGAACTGTAGATGCAGGGGAAATTATTTCTCCAACTGTCACATATGTTCCTGTTAGAAATCCAACAATTCCAACGACAGCTATAAAAATGTCTTTAAATATCATCCACAAACTTAAGTTTTCCTTGTAGAAAGTGAGGATTTCCACCAGGGGAGGCAGAATCAGTGCCAGAGTGCTGCTGCTGACAGCTCCAACTAAAGAAATCACCAGGTCTAGGCGAGGGATCGAAACTGCTACAGCACCTAGAACAGAAAAGTAACAGTGGCTTAAGATTCAACATCCATGGAAAACAAAACCACAACAAGCCCATCATTTAATGGTTCAGGCTTTCTAAAAAGTTCTATCATTCTCTGCTTTTCCAGCTGCAAGTGGTGCATACTATATAGATTATCGTGGGCATCTGTGAGGGAGATACATCTTCATGCTCATGTGAAATACTCAGTTTCAATGCTGGATCACTGCATGAGCTGGCAGGGCTTCAAGTGAAAGTGTTCTTGTATAGAATCATGGAGTCATAGAATGGTTAAGGTTGGAAGGGACCTTAAAGATCACCAGGTTCCAGCCTCCCTGCTATGAGCAGGGACACCTCACACTAGACCAGGCTGCACAAGCCCCATGCAACCTGGCCTTAAACACCTCCAGGGAGGGGGCTTCCACAACCTCCCTGGGTAACCTATTACAGTGCCTTCCTACCCTCATGGTGAAGAATTTCTTCCTGATGTCTAACCTCAATCTCCCCTCTTTCACTTCAAAACCATTACCCCTTGTCCTATCACTGCCCTCTCTGGTGAAAGCCTCCTCCCCAGCTTTCCTGTAGCCCCTTGTACTTACAGGGTAAAAAAACACTTGGCCTGTGAATAACAGAGAAAAGAGAAACACAGAATTATATGGAGATGTTTTACTATTTTGGTTGTTGTTGGGTTTTTAAGACAGAAGAATAAAGTTCAGGAAAAGCAGGGAAAGGGGGCTGTTGCATGCTGCCCAGGAGACAGTGGGCAAAAAATATATTACTATTAATTACTATAGATTAGTAATAACAAAATCATTCTAAAGGAACCAAACCTGCTGGCCACCTAGCAGTCTCATAATTTAAGTCACTTTTACCTACAAATTTGCCTCTTGAAAAATCTTGGTCTATACAACTGTGTTCAATTTGTAAAATGCCGACTCTAGCATTTGTCCAGTTACTGAGAACTAATTCTTCCAAGAGACAAGGCTGAACACAAGCCCCACTAAGCTGTTCATGGCAGAGCTGGTCTTACCTCTTGCAACAGAATTTACAGAAACAGAATCCATTACATTGGACCAGAACCACTTCTGGCTTTAGCCCTTTTGGCTGAACTACTTTCAAAGGCCAGCTGAGCAGAGGCCTTTGTATGATCCACTGGATGTGGTGGAAATATCTGGGTCTTTTGCCCTTCCATGAATCTGTTGCTTTCTAGCTGTCAGACATGAGCATAAATAACCATGGCATCTGCTTGCTTGCCATATTCTGTCACTTCTCATCAAGACAAGGAAGCAATCGGGAAGAAAAAGAATGGGGAATACTGGTGTAAAAGCCACCAGCAAACCAAAGATACCACATAAGATATTTTTGTTCTTCTGTATCTCCCTTCTTAACTCTTAAGCTATAATAAAAGCCTTAGACCAACTCCTCCACCAATCAAATATTATGCAGACATTGTTTAGGGAAATAAGCAAATCACAGGATCACAGAATAGTCATGGTTGGAAAGGACCTCTGAGACCATCAAGTCCAGCAAAAAAATCCCACCCAAAACCAACACTACACACACAAAAACCCCCACAACACACAACCTACAGTCTCAGCCACTAGGGAATGCCTTGAAGTTCCTCATCTACATGTTTCTTGAATACATCCAAGGATGGTGACTCCACCACCTCCCTAGGCAGGCTGTTCCTGTGCCTGACCACTCTTTCAGTGAATAAATTATTTGCAATATCCAATCTAAACCTCACCTGGTGCAATAAAACAAACAGGAAGGAAATCCACACATAGCATGTGAGGATGAAAACCAGAAGGTACATACCAGTTTTACAGTTTCTCAAGATGAGCTCTCTACTTGCAGAGCATCTTTCCTATGGACTGAATGCCACCAGCTGCCTTGGACTGGGCAGAGATTCAGGTGTCCTTGAGGAAACTTTTGGAATGCCCTGGCACTCAGAAATAGATAAGCCAAATTTCTTCTCCCACTGTTACAATGGACCTACTCAATGCCAAGCAAACTACTTCTTCCATTGCATGAATACGACTTCTAAAGACTGGAAATGCTATATGTTTATGCATGTTCTAGGCCAAAGCTGAATGGAATGAGAAAAGAATTATGCCAAAGTTATAAAAAGTCACAAAGTACCCGTCTCTCTAACTTTTGTGGCCATAACTTCACTCAAGCCATAAAAGCAGGCACTGGGAGTGACCCAACAAGTAGGCTCAGACCAAACTGACTGGCAAGCTTGCTTGACACTTGCACACCAATGCACAGTTCTCAAGTAATTTAAAAGGGCAGATGAAGTATATTTGCAATGATTGGTAAAACTTTCAGCTAATGACTAAGTTGAATGGGTAGTAGTGGGTGCATTCATTAAATATAGATTTTCAAGTTCTGTAATAGACCTCTTTCAATTCCATGTGTCCAGAATTCAGTGGACACTCATTAATTTGTTTGAAAAGTTCTGCTTTACTAAAAATAATGAGAATATATTTCATACTTTTTTAAATTGATAAAAAATAGCTACAATTTATAATTGCTTCAGGTTACAGAAAAGCAAAATGCTGTCTGTTGGTTTGGAACTTGTCAAACATTTGTCTGGCTCTTACAAATCTGTATGAATCTGGATATTGCTGTGGGAGGAAGTTTGGAAACGTGTTTCATGGTTTTAATTAGTGTCTTATTTAGTCTCTAACAATCTGAGAGAAATACAACTCATCTTTATTACTTACCAAAGAATGTCATCAAGTGTTAAAGCAGCCTAGCTTCCAGAAGAATTAAACAAGGGGCATGCCTACAGGAAGGAAGTCTGAGTTTCCCAGCTATGCATAAATTTTAAAAACACAACACTGAGAAGCAATTCTGAACCTTTATCTCAGTCCTGAAGCATTCCAGTTTGGAAGCTCAAGGAATCTCAACTGAAGAAATAAATCCTACAATATTGATATGACACTTTTTTTGGCCAACAGTTCAACTGTCTTCAGCCTTGAATTAAACAGCAAGAGCCTTAAGAACAAAGCATCCTGCAGACATCACAAGAGGTTGCAACACTTTAATTCTACCTTGACTCTACAGTCTACTCTCAAAACCCATTAATCATGAATTCTCCAGCCTGTCTCAGCCAAGCAGTCACCCATTTGTGTCAGTTGGGGCTTTTTGAGGAAAGGAACACTGCAGCAGAATGTTTCTGTTTTCTCCAGGGACGTATCACCCCAGTGGAAAGTTACCCTTAAATTTACTGTTTGAATTACAGTGCTGTTTCATCTACCACTTTCTCTCCTTGTTCCCAAATCAGCATATTACTAGCCAGACTTGCTTGCTGAAATAATCTCAAAGAGACCTCTGGAAAATAAAAAAAGGTTTTGTCATCTCTGTAAATTAAGTCAAATATGTGATTACCATGTTCCAACACTTCCTCTAGTAATCAAATATTGAGTGATTTTATTTCTACCAAAAAGCAATGCCTATGCCATGCTAAATCCTTGAGCGAGACAGGCACTGTCTTGGCACATTAGGATCTATGGGTCTAAGTACAGATTGAATTCTTAATTTTGGTCCTGTCTGTACACAGATCAAAAGCAAAGCATATGATGACTTCATCAGGAGATTTTAATGATACAGCTCACTTAAAAAGCCTTTTTTTCATGTTTCTAGCAGGACTTAATGTATTTATAAGCATCTTATAGGAAGCCCAAAAGCAATTTGAAATCTAAAAGGCTAACAATACTGATAATTTCTTCTAAAATTTCCTTCAGCCCAATTAAAAAGCTGTTTAATATTTCTCTACTAAAATAATTAAAAGAAATTACTTTCCAGATAGTACCAGATTTTGTATTTCCTTTAAGTATTAAAAAATCATTCTGATAAAAACCAGGTCAGTGGTATTTATACATGTGCATCTGAAGAAAAGAAGTGATACACATTATCAGGTCAGTAATATGGCCTAAGCAAGTTGTCCTAAGAGCAGATTTTATAAATCTACATGGCCAAAAAGACTGAGGGCTTTTAAACAATGAGAAATGTTGGATATTACTAGGGAGAGATAACTTCACGTAGTTGAAGAGTAAAATAATTATCTCAAGCAATGTACAACCAGTTTTCTTCAAAGCCAGTGGCAGTGCTGAAGAGGTCCTTGTTCTGCAAAAGGTCAGCACACCCCAAACTTATTCTTTGTATCACTTTTTCAGAACCAAATTAGGAAGACTGAAGCATTGCTGTATCAAAGACAGGTGTTTGAGGTACGTACCACTTTCCAAAAGCATAAAATGAAACTGTATTTTTAACAGACAGATGCCTATGATTTGGCAAAGGAACAGTCTGCTCTGGGAAGAAAAAATGCCTTCAATTAAATGTTTGCCAAAAAATTCTGGCTGTAGGCAAACCTGCACTTCAGAATACCAGTCTGAATTCTGATTCCTAATGTTCCAGGCTGTGCCCTCTGCCCATTCTCCCTTACTGCACTAGTGCTCAGCCAAACTGGCATCCTCTTCTTCCCCTCACCCAACTGTACTGTTTCCTGGATCCCTCTCCCCTGTGCAGCACCTTCGTATTTTCTTCCAACTCACTCCTCCTTTTCTGCAACAATCTCCTCCACATTGCCCAGGTTTTTCTGCTTTATGTCCCAAAAGAATAGAAAACCATTTCTCTGCTATAGACTATCCCACAAAGCTTAGCAGGTTTTGCTGTGAGGAGTTTCCATCTGAAGGCTGAACAACTATAAAGTCAGGGTCTTCTCAAGTGGTCATTTGACCAGGAGATCCATGTTGTGTTTTCTGTGCAAATGGATTTTCATACTCTGTACATGAGTTATATCTTCTACCTCGGCTCGAAGGCAAGCAAGAATGTGTGTGCTACCCCTTGGAAAGCAGCTGGCCATTGCAGACTTATTTAGAGAACAGTAATAAATAATTTATCTCTACTTTGTAAAACTGTAACATACTAAGTCACCATTAAAACAATTCCCATTATAAAAATAAATGACAAAATCTAACAGAACTTAATATTTCAAGAAAA